AAGTCGTTTTGCTATAAAATCACTTCAACTATTCAGCATCAACGAAATCTATTTTAATTCAATTGCAATGAAGTTTGGAATAACAATCAATGTATCATGTGAACTTGGCTATGAAGAAGAGATGAAAGAGAAAGGAGAGATGGATGAGAAGACAAAGAAAAGAGTCATCAAAAACACAAAACGAAGAAGGGATATAAACAAATCAGCAATAACATTCAACACAATGGTTCAAATGGTAGAAAACATTGGATATAAAATCACAAAGAGATCAATCAAAAGTGCAAAGAAAACAATCCAAATGATCAAAATCAAAGAAATTGGAATTGGAGAAGAATGGAAAATGAAAGAAGAAAGAATCCAAGAAATTGGAAGTTTAATCAATCAATACATTAAAGGACTCATCACAGGAACAGGTAAAACAATTATACTAAGAAATGATGATCAATATATTAATTCATTATTCATCATCAATACTGAAGAAGAGAATAAATGGATGAATATATCAGAAAGTACTTCACATGAAGTGTTTTTATTGTAATTATCTTCTTTTTAAATTATATTTAAAATGGTTTAATTTGACAACATCAATAAATGATGAACAACACCAAAAAAGAATAAAAACACAAAGAATAAATTACAATAAAGATGAATTAAATAAATAAAGATAAATCAACAATCCATAACACATTCAAATACATCATTTAATCAAAATAAAAATAATGATGAAATATGAATAAACAAAACACTCCTCATTAATTTTTATCATGTTTTTTTTCTATATTATATAACTTTTATTAATTTGGTTGATATAAAATGATTAATAAATAAATATAATGATAATATAATTGATATGATAATAAAGATATAATAAATAATATGTGATATTAATAAAAAGTAGAATTAAAAAAGAAATATAAACAATTAATAGAATAATAATGATGAGAATAGAAAGAATATTAAATAGATGTTGTGTACAAATAACATTCTTTTGTTTATTTAGATTATCATTATTTGTTTTACTTTCTGAATTATTTGTTATGTTATTAACTATTATTTGTTTCATTTACCTTCTTTTTCTATATCAGTATCTTCTTTCTTTTCTTTATTGTAAATAATATCTTTTTGTTTATTCTGATAAGGGGAACCAAAATAAGGGAAGTAATAATGCACCTAAAAACCACAAAAGAAAATGAATAAAATATTTTGAATTAATAAAATAATGTTAATTATTTTATATCAATAAATAAAAAGCTTTTTTATTGCATATTTCTAATTTCTATAATAAAAGTGCATCCTTTATTCATCATTCTTTTCATTTTTTATTATCTCATTTTGAATTATTCCTTTTGATCTTCTTTCATTTTATAATCTCAACATTCTACTTTTATTCTTTTCATCTTCTTCTTCATAATTTCACTTTTTTCTTTTATATCATTCTTTTTCATTATTTCTCTTATTTAATTTTTTTGCAGCTAACACAAAACAGAAGAATTGCAATGATAAAATATTTCATTGAATAATTTGAATAACTTGATTAGATAATAAATTAAATAAAATGATTAAGTTTATTTCATTACTCTCATTTATCATTTTATCATAACTTTGATAAACTGAAAAATATAAAATTCATATTATCATTATTTGAATGATTAACATATAATACTGTTATTTAATTATTGTTGTTAAATGAAATTAAAATGAGATTATACAAATGAAAGATGAAAATAATAAGATTTGAATATTATCTATATGATAAATAGAAGAAATGAGAATGAAATCGTGAGAATAAAGGATTAAGAAATTGATAGAAGAATTCATAAAAAAACTACACAACACAGTATAAATTAATTAAGTATTGATAGATTGTTTTATATTGTTCAACCAGATGGAGACCATATCATTCTTGTTTTTAGTTAACTTTATGAAATGGTTGTGATAGAGACATTATTTCATGATATCCATTATATTTTTAATTACAAAATTGTTGATTTTTTATATTGTCAATTTATATTTTTAATTCTTTAACTAATTTAGTGCCATGTGTATTTATTAGCTCATTTATTGAAATTACTTTGAAATATCTTTATTTTATTTCTTATTTCTTTAATTTTTTTATCAGTTTAGTTTATTTATGTAGTATAAGAATGTAACGAAAATCATATAGAAATAAATATACACCAACAAATAGATTTAGAAGATATTATCATGATATAACTACAATATATTAATGAAATAATATCCATAATCACTTTAATAATAATTATCATAATTATACATATAATAGTACATTTATAAATAAACACAATTATAATAAAAAAGAAAAGTAATTAATATAACCACAAATACCATAATACAGGTAAAATGTTTAATCAATATTATGATGAGAATAAACAAGGTAAAAGATATAGAAGCAAAAGATATTACAAGAAAAGACAATGAAGGAGAGACAAAAGAAAACAAGAAAATAATACAAAAATGATGAAGAGATTTAAAGAAATAGAAAAGATATTGAAAGAAAAACTAAATAAGAAAGAAGAAGAATGAAAAGAAATACGCATAGAGATTGAAGAAAAGAATAAATAATAATAAAAGAAAGAATACAATAATAAGAAAGAGATATAGAAGGGTCACGAAATTATGCATTTTATTCGTATTTATCATTATATTATTATAATGATTTGTGATGTTGTTAATTATTTCATAATTGTTGTCTAAATGTAATGAATGTCTTCATTGTTTGATTAAAATATGGTGTTTATGATTGTTAGATCATTGAAGTGAATTGTCATAATCCAAAATAATTCTTGTTAATTGATTAAAAGGTAAAAATAGTAGAAAATACAATTAGATAAAAATATTTGTGATTAAATATGAGAATAACATATTTGTACATTATGAGTTCTATCTTTCTACTTCGTTCTCTGTATTAAATGAATATATCTGTTGATGAAATTCAAATAAAATAAATATAAAAAGAAAATGATAAAAGAAAGAATAAAGAAAATAATAAGAAAATAAATATAATGATTAATGATAAAATTAATGAGTTATTATCATGAATGAAAGTTGAAGATGAACATTAAATTCATTATTATTAATTATAATTGATTAATTTATAATACATATTAAATAGTCATTCTTCATTCTGTATTATTGTGTTGATGTTTAAATTATTCAATTTGTTATTATCATATCATCATTTCATTGAAACTTCTTATTTATTATCTTTTTATTTGTTTCATCATTTATCTCTTGTTTTATATGATAATATAAATAAATTAAATTGTATATTATCATCATTCATCATTGATAATCATCTGTGATATAATTTAATGTTTATATCAATAAATATATCATTTAAATAGATAAATAATAACATTTGTTAACATATCATTATGATATCTCATCAATGTGATAAATGAAATGTAACAGATTCATCAATAACAATAAGATTGATATTCATATTTATATAATCATTGTTATTCATAAATAACATTATAAATTTGAATTAACATAATGTTCTTCTTTATTATTTTTCATAATGATATTTTCACATTAAAATAGAATTGAAGGTAAATGAAAAGAAATAAAGAATAATATAAAAAGAACATAATTATGAATGAATATACTCAACAATTCAATATACATCATACTCAATACAATAAGATATTACAAAATGTCAACTGATTGTTATAGAATTTGTATTTTACCTACTTTTTATTTTATTTTATAATTTATAATTTTAAGAGAAAATAATAGAAAACAGAATAATCTAATATTCAAAAAATATATTACACTATTTTCAATTGAGCAATTTATTTAAATGCATAATTTCTTCGCTTATTTTGGTTCCCGATATAGAAGAAGAGAAGAAAATGATAATTAGAAAGATATGAGAAAGAGAAATAAAAGAAATGGAAAGAAAAATAGAAGAAATGGAGAAATACAAAGTAAAGAAGAAGAAATAAGAAAAAGAGAGAAGAAGTAAAGAAGAGAGATAAAGAAATAGAAAGAATGAAGAGTAAACACCAGATAGAATTCTATCATAAAGAAGAAGAAATATAAACATTAAAATTGAATTTAGAGAAACAAAAGAAAGAAAGAGAAGAAGAAACTAATAGATTAAAGAAAGAAATAGAGAAATAAATAAGAAGAAGAAAACAATAAAACAAAAGATAAAATCAAATAACAAGAAGAAGAAATAACAAAGAAGAAAGAACAGAAATACAAAGAAATTAAAGAGAAAGAAATAGAAAGAAGAAAAAACAAGGAATAGAAAACATCATCAATAAAGAAGATATCAAAAATTTAAATTTTAACAAAGTGAAGAAGAAGAAAACAATACCATTGACAAAAACAGAAACACTAAAGAAGTGAGTCAAGTGGAATAATTATAGAAGAAAGAAATGGATACCATCAAAGAAGAATCCAGGAATGAACTAAAACAAATACAAGAATGAGTAATTCAAATCATGAGAGAAGATTTACTGAGAATGATATTAGAAGAACTAGAGAAGACAATTGGAGAGAAAATCAATATAGAATAAATAATGAAAAACAAATGAACTATCAGAAATAGAAGAAAAGAAGATAAAAAGTTATTAATGTTATTGATTAAATATAATAAATATTAAAATATAAATAAGAAATTAAAGAAATTAAAGAGATATAGAAGAAAGAAGAATAAAGATAAATAAAGAAGAAGAATATATAGAAATGAATAAAAGAGCAAGATGAATAGATGAAAGAAATAAGAAAAGATAATATAAATAAAAATAAATATAATGAATAATTATACAACAAATCCATCTTTAAACTAAAATAAATAATGATAAATTACATGAAAGATCAAATAGATAATAATAAAAAGAAATAATACAAATAAATAAATAAATATATTATTATTATTATTATTATTATTATTATTATTATTATTATTATTATTATTATTATTATTATTATTATTATTATTATTTCAAAAAAACATGTAATGAAATAATTAAATATATAAATGAAGAATGGAAGTGTGAAAGTAAAAATATAGAAGATATCAAAAAAAGAAATATATAAAATATCATATTATATTTCTAAATATCAAGAAAATATATTTATATGATATTGAAATGATGAAATTAAGAATATAATAAAAAGATCCAATAAATTAAAAGAAATGTTAATAACAAGAATTACACTATAATTAAAATAATAAAGAGAAATAAATAATAAAATGATGAATATATTATTAATAAAACATGAAAATAAACAATAGAATATTTAATCAATAAGAAGAATAGAATAGACTTTAATAAAGAAGATAGGAGAAGAATAAGTAAAAATAAAATAATAATAAGAATTAGAAGAAGATTAAATAAAATATATAATATCATAATGATGAATAATAAAATAAGAAGAGGCAAATATAAATTAGAATTAATAAGAATAATAATATATTATGAATTGAAATAATAAAATAGGAGAACTAATGAAATGAATAAGAATGGAAAATAGAAAAGATGGTATAAAATAGATGGTAAGAGAATTAATAAAAATGAAAATAATGAAATATATTTATTGTCACAAAATAAGAATGAACTATCTATAGTAATAAAATATTTAAATAATAAATTTAATGAAATATATATTAACAAATTGAAATTACATAATGTAAGTATTCATTTAATAAATTACTTTGAAAATGAAATGAATGATAAAAAAAATTAACAATTAAAATAATGATTAATAGTAATATAAAATAATATAATTAATTAAAATTAATGCAAGGAAATGGTACATTTGTATTAATTAACAAATCATTAATTACATAAAATAATATTCAGAAATGATTTATTATTTATAATGATAAAATAACAACATTAAAACATATATTATTAAATTAAATTATAAATAAGAATATACAAATAAATAAACCTGATTTAATAAATGAATATAATTAGAAAAGAGTTAAATTAAAATATAAAATAAATATAAAGAATTATGAAGAAATGGAGAAGAAAACAAGAGAAAATAAATTTATTCTTTAATATAAATGAAAAGAATAAATTCTAAAGAAGAATATAAAATAGTGAAATGTTCATTTTATAGAATAAGAAATAGTTAATAAAACTAAAAAAAGATTTTTTAAAAGACCAGAATTATATAGAAGATAAAACAAATAAAAATAATAAATGATATGATAATTGTATTTGATAAATCTGGGATTCATTAATAAATTTGAAATGTCTAAAAGAAGTAAAAGTAATTCCATTAATAATGTTAATAAATATATTATTTAATAAAGAATTTGTATGAATGTTAAAAACAATGTATTATAATTTTATGGGAGATAATGATAAAAGAATAATGGTTAAGAACATAAAAACACATAATGAAATGGTATAGTGACCATAGAGGTGAATATAAAGAAGTATTTCATGAACAAGACTCTGAAGAGAGTAAATGATGTAATCTCATCTGAGTAAAGTAATAGAAAAAAAACAAGATCTAGTGATTATTATTTTATTTTTAATTTTTATTCTTTGAGATATTTATTTTAATTTATTTATTTATTGATTGATTTTATTTATTATTATAAAACTTATTATAATTTTTTATTTATTTTATTTATTTATTTTCTATTATTTATTTTTAATTTTTATTTATTTATTTTATTATAACTCTTTTTTTAATTTAAATTTATTAAAATAAGAAATATTTATTTATTATTTATTTCTTTTTTCATAATTATTTTTATGGTACAATTTAATAATAGTGTGATAAATTATTTATGGTATATTATTAATTATTTAATTATTTATATTTTATATAATATTTTATTTTATATTATTTATTATATTATAATATTGTTTATTATATTGTTTAATATCAAAAACAATTATTTTCTTTTCTCATATTTATAATTTTATAATCTATTTCATTTAAAAATAAACTCTGATTTATTATAGTTTATTATATTATCAAATATATATTTATTTTTATTTCATATTCATTTAATTAATACAAAAAGAATAATTTATATTTTCATTTATATTAATAATTAATTAGAAAATAATTTTTAAATAATAAAAACATAAAAATACTTATATATTTCATTTCCAATGAAATAAAAATATAAAAATAAAAAGTAGTTAATTAAGTATTAATAGAAATATCTTCTATTGTTCCTTGCTCAGGGGAGACTAATCCCATCCTTTCGCTTTAAATGTATTTGTTCTTCAACTATTGCCTTATTCTTTGCTTTTAGTTGTTGAACGGTGAGAATTTTCTTTTCTCATTTTTGATGTGGAATAGAGTATTTAAACATCCCTTATTTAAATATTCATTATTTAATTTCTTTTTAATTTTGATGGGTTTAGATTTCTTCTTCTTTATTTTCTTATTTTAAGGAGAGTATATAATTACTATATTGCTTTAGGCTAATATTCTTTTAGCCTCATCCACTTGACCCTTTTCCTTTGATAATCTTTCTTATATTATCAAATAATACTTGTATTCTAACAAGTAATAATACCATCTTTATAAATACCCATTCGTTTATTGTCAATGATATTCTGTCATTATACATAATAAACACTGCTATTCTTGCAGTACCGGGTAAGATGTTTTTCTAACCAAACGCAACGTCATAACCAGTCCATAACTGGTGGGAATCGAGGGATGGAAATATTTTAGGGATCTGTGTGGTGTCTCTGACGTGCTACCTTCGAATCATGAAATAAAAATATAAAAATAATAATAGTATAAAAGAAAAAGAAGAAATAAAAATAAAACAGAATAATAAAGTTAATAAGAAATAGATAATAAAAAAGATATAAAAATAGAATAAGATAATAATTAAGAAATAGATAAAATTTAAATATATTAAGAAGAAGATATTTAAATAAAACACAACAATGATCACAAAAGGAGTGTGATGACGTGGCAACTAAAAATAGAAATAGAACATGACGTGGATACACGTCAAATTTATAAATAGAATGAATGACGTGGTAACACATCAATGAGGTTAAATAAAACTCAAATGACGTAATCAATACGTGGATAAAACTCAAAGAATTATGGGATGAATAACACAAAAATCTTAAAAAGTCAGATGAAAATCTAAAAATCTCAAATAGAAAAGTCAGCTGACTAAACTGACCAAAATTATAGTAAATAATAGTAAAATATATAATAAAATATAATAAAAATATATAGTCATATATAATATATATATATATTTTGGACCTCAAAAAGTCAGAATAGGAATAAAATTGACTCACTCGATGACTATATTGGGATGAATAACAAGAATAATTATGGGAAAAATAAAGAAACACTAAATAGTAAATATGAAGTTAAAATAATAAATAACAAAAAAGAATAACACAAAACGTCTAATAAAATATTGTAGTGGTGTATAACACAAAAGTCAGCGCAACTGAATTATTAGATCGCTGACCCTAGTTTATATAATAATGTATATGTGGCAGGGTTGAAATTAACGTTCAAAAATTTCAAATGGTGAGGAATTAGGGTGAAAGAAAGGTGCAGAAATAAGAAAAAAAATGTAACATAGAAACATAAAGAAGCAGAGAAACATACAAAAAACGAATAAAGAACGAGAGAAAGGTGAAGTATTGTAAGAGCAATGAGGAATAAAATAAAGTTTATATCAAATAATAAAAAAAATATTAATTAAATAGGAATAAGTATAATAAAAACAGTAAATTATATTATAAACAAATATAAACAATACAAAAATATCATTAAAAATAAAATTAAAAATAACGAAAAGAATCAATTAGAATCACCACATAAATTTCCAAGATCGTGATAAAAGAAAGCGATTTCACCTACAATACGTTCGATATTACTATAATTAACAAGGAAGTTTTTAATATCATTAAGAAGATATCTAATATAATTATCTAAGCATGGATCATATTCATATTCCTTAACGAAAATTAATTGATGGACCCAAAACGATATGGCATATAACAGACTTCTTCCATCAGTTGTAAGATTGGTTTTTAACCGGTCATCTATATCCACAGCAAGCTCAATGATTAAAGTTTTTAACTTATCTATGCAAATTGCCTTACTCATTGATGAAATTTTCAAGTTCTCCCGTTTTTAAATTCAATGATTAGTTGGCAACAAATATACAATACGGATTTTTATACTATCCAAAAGAACATAAAAGTCAACAAAAATGTCTGTTTAGAATAAAAATTGTCTGTCAAAATGTCTCTTCAATCAATAAATAATAAAAGGTATATTAAACAATATAATCAAATAATTACAATATACCACGTAAAATGTCTGTTTATCGGCGTTAATACACGTATTTAATTATATAAAAACGCCCCGACTAAACTCAATATTCAAAATGAGTATTACAGTAGACGAACGAATTGAAGTTTTACAAATAGAAGATCTAAAAGTCAATACATTAGCGAGTTACTTTATCGACTTAGATGGTGTACAGGAATTATGCGAAGACTTAGCCGAGTTATATAAGAAAGAACAAACAGCAACACTGGGAGATGAAAAATATTTAAGAATACTAGAAAAAGAAGCATACCTAATAGAAGATATAGCTTTGACTGCTATAAACTTTTTAAATACACACAAAAAGGTCCTAGAAGTGATGAAAAGATGCTCCTCCAAACGCTCTAAACAAACAAAGCCCGAAAAAAATAATTGAATTAACTTTTATCATTCGTTTTATGTTAAGAATTTGATAATCAACTGACTAACAATAATTAAAATCATTAGTATTAATAAGACAATAGAGGCAGCAATCGAATAACATATTCTATTTAGTATCTTCGGCTGTTTTAATAAAGAATCCATAGAAATACGTTCAGTTGTATCACTCATAATAATATAAATAAATGAAATAACAAGTTAATCAATTAATTAATTTATCATGTTTTAAATAAAATTCAAAATAAGTATCATTGATTTTAAGCAAATCCTCACTCGTTTTATACATATCTAGTTCGACATTTCTTCCTCTTTGTAATACTCTGCGAAACTGTTCTTTTAAATCTCCACAATACAACAAAACAAATAAATCATGTCTATAATTTTTCATTAACATTGGATAAATAACACCATTTAATAAAAGTTGTATGACTTGTTTAATTTCGATTGCTGCCGTATCAACCTTGACAAATTTAACATTAATATTATCTAAGCTAGGAATATCATACATTTCACATAAATCATCTATATCATTTTTAATATCTTCACGTTCTTCAATGGTGAGAGATTCATCACCATCACAAAATATACTAAGAGCTTCACTTAAATGTCTTTCCCATATAACAATTGTTGCTCGCCTGAACTCCTGTTTCATAAACTGTTTTCTATAACATCCTAATACATATTTCTGGAATTGATAATTCTTTATCACACCACGATGTAAACATTCTAAACGCGATTCACCATCAATATCAAAATCTATATACTCTTGAACAAAAAACACATCTTCCATATCAATACACACACTTCGTAAATAATTAAGGATAGTTGTCTTACCAACTGCAAGTCCCCCACTCAAGAATATATGACGAGTAAAGGAACTTGATTTACAACAACTAACAGGCAAAGCGGAAACACATCTAACAACAGAATCGACCATTTAATAAATCTAGATAAAAACGTTTCCCAATTAATTCAATTTTCAAAATAAATCAAAACAACAAAAATAAAAAAAAAAAAAAATAAACAACCAATTAAAATAATCAATTTTCACTTTCCGGTTTTTTAGGCTTCTTTTCTTCATCAGAATTTTTACCATTACCAAGCAAAGCACCACGTTCCTTTTCATCATCATCAAAATCATCTCTCTTCTTCTTGGAATATCGTCTAACCCATTCAGGCAAGTCTATCATTTTTATGTCCTTTTTGGCGCATTTACCATACTTCTTTTTTACCCATGCATTATAAGAGTTCAAATTAACACCGTTTTCATCCAAAAACTGAGACATACGCTCACTTCGCAAAATACTTTCCAATTTGGACCTTAATACAACACTTTTCTCAGTATCATCTTCAATCTTACCAGATACATTTAATTTCCAGTCCAGATAAGAGGGCTCTTTCATCACATAATACAGTCTTTTAACAAAACTGTTTACATCAGGTTCGCGCTGACTTTCCATAAAAACGTCAGCAATATCTTTACTTAATACATCATAGTGGATATCATCCCTATTACCAGCAAAATTGGACATTATCAACTGATTTTTTAGTTTATATTTTTCAGAGTTTAAATATACCAGTTCCACTCATTGACGTAATATACAACACGATTCCACGTAAACAAAAACCTCAACAGACAATATAAAAACACCCACTTTTTTTTACATAACAAACAGATGTCAACAAATCAATTCACGGTAGAACCATCGAGAAACGACTTTATACACCTTAATGAAGCTCTGAAAACAAACAAACCACTCCACTTCACGTCTCGGTATTTATATCTAACTCTATGGGGAGACGAGATAAAAAACAACATCCAATTTAAAGAAGTGGTCGATCGAATGGCGGGAGCAACGAGCAACGTACAGTACGCACACGTGTCTCCCGTAGAACACGATGATATTAATCCAAGACCACACCAGCACATGCTAATAGTGCTAAAACGTCCAAAGTCGTTTAAAGCAAGACCCATTATAACACACGCAGATGGAACCAAACAAACCTTTTGGTATTCAAGGGTCAATTCATACACTTCCAGGACCGGCGATATCTCCGCGCTAGTAAAATATATAACCAAGAAAGGCAAAGGCATATTCCAAGGAGATCCAGATAAAAAGGAAGAGCTCAAACAGACTTGGATCAATGCCTTAAACGACATGGATTCATATAGAGACTATAAAGAGCTAGAACAGAACCTAATGGAAATTAATGCAGAAAAATACATCCAACAGGAAGGACGCATTAAGGCACGTTGGATGAGAAAAAATGCAAGAAGAATTGATATGGAACAGTACACAAAAACAGATTTATTACCATGGAGAGAGGACATGGAAGAAATTAAAACAATTAGAAAATGGATAAAATGCGCCTCTGGAGATCGCTATCGTATGGGCAATTTATTCATAGTAGGATCGACTAAAACGGGGAAAACAGAATTCGCTGTTCAGGAAATATTTATGAAATATAACACGTTTATGCTGCGCGGAGATTCGCTATTTGATACTTACGACGACGAACAACATTACAAATTTATATTATTTGACGATATTAACTACGATAAAAATACCATTCGTCTAATTAAAGCAATAACTTCAACAATAAACAAGAAAACCGTCGTAAACATAAAGTATTCAAAGGCAATAGTAACAGCGAGACCTTGCATACATTTGCTTAATCAAAAAGAGTACGAGAACGTAGTAAATCTGATGAGAGAAAATGGAGGTTACTCATGGTGGAGAAGAAACTCATTAACAGTATTTTTAGATAAAAAGATTTATAAAGACCCCCAAGAATCTGAAAATTCATCAGAAAACATGCAAGAACAAGAAACAAATTACGACCCCCAAAAGGACCTCGAAGAGAAATACAATGCTTTGGAAGAAAAAGATGAAGATACTACTATACAAGAAGAATACGCACCAGAGCACGTCTCGTTTTATAATAGAGTGACGTCACTACTGGAAGAACTGGGCTATGATGATGATTTCTTATCCAACTTAGACGAGAAGATAAAGGAAAAGAAAAAGAATAATCCTCGCTTAGAAAAAACGCTAAGAGAATCACAACAAGACAATGAAAGTATGCAAGAAGAGTGGAACAATGACTTAGAGGAATATCAATCTTCCAATCCTCTTGGAATACCAAAAGAAGACTTCAAAGACTTCGAAAAAGAGACCATGTCTTCTTACGAAAAACAGAGAAATAGTTACTTTGCAAGACACATGGATTCTTCATCTGATGATTACGATGATGATGAAGATTATGAAGATGAAGAAATGAACAATCCAATGGAACATAGACCATTCGGAGGAAAAGATAATGATATGGATATCATCTACGATTAAACAATTAATTGAATTAATTTATTATATATCTTCTTACTTCTGGTCTTCTTTTATATTTTGGATCATCAGCAGGATTAGTTTGTTGAGGTTGAGTAGTAGATGGATCGAATGAAGCACCATCAACTGTTTGTATTTTAGGTTTCTTTTCTTTGTATTCTATTTGAGGTTGTTTATAAGGATATTCAATTAATTTTTGAGGTTCATATTCATAATCAATTTGTTTTTGTTTTTGTTTATAACCAATTTGAGGTTGTTTATATTCAAATCCAATAGTCTGTTGAGTCTGTTTATCTTTAAGTTTAAGTTTATCAGAATTATCTTTAAGTAACAAAGGATTAACATTAGTTAAATATTGAGTAGGAACTTGAGTTTCTTCACCAATTGTAACACCAAATTGTTTATTACCAGGAGTTACAATATTTAAATCATTCAATAAATCAGGATCAACTTCCATTACAACAGCACTTGGTTTATAACCAGGTTTATTCTTCTTAGGCTTAATGAGATCTTTAGCATAATCATCATTACTTTTAACAGTATTATCAACCTTCATAACTTGACCATTTTGTTTAGCTTGTTCATCTCGATTAACTTGATTATAATAATCTTTCTGAGTACGACTATAATATTCTTGTAAATTCTCTTGTACTTTGGGATTACGTAAAGCCAGACTCAAAGAACCAGATTGAACGCCATTTTCAATTAACAATTGTTGTTGTTTAGAAACATTATCATGTTCAGTAGCCGAATCATACGCATTCATAAAATTAGTAGCATCCTTCTTAAGAAGTTCATATGCTTGTCGTCGATCATTAGAATTAGCAGAAGGATCAGTATATTGTTTTATAACATAATCAACAGTCTCAAAATATCGTTGTGTATATTTATTATTTTTGTGTACTCTACCTTCATGAGCACCAACTTTCTTTTCAACTTGTGAAAAAATCTTATATACTTCATCAAATAATCCACGTTCAGCATTATATTCAAGAAAACGTTGTTGCTTAAAACCAGTAAAAGCTTGAGAAGCAATACGATTCTTACCAATAAAAGCCTTTGCAAATTCTCTATCTTCAACTATTTCAGGTTGAGATACATGAACTTTATCAGCACGCGTAGCAACAGGAATAACAACTACAACTTTTTGTTTACCTTCTTTATAATTCTGAGCAGCATTATAACCTCTATTACCTTCACCATAAGCAGTCTGTATATTATTAATATTATTAACCATATTTGATATATCAGCATTAGGATTTTGATTATACAATCTAAAACCTCTAGCAACTGCAGCAAATTGTGCATCAAGTGTCCTTATAACTTTACTACGTTCAGCAGGATCAGAAATACTATAAACATATTTATATAATTCATCTTTATCAATTTTTAAATTTCCACCTACTTTATTACAAATACTTATAATAGGTTTCCATCTATCAAAATACACATCATTAGTTTGTTGTCTAAATACTTCATTATTAACCTTTTGTTCAATAACCAATGCATTCTGTTTCATATAATCAAAATCTTTATCAAAATGTTGTTGATTATCTTTAGCGACGACAAGAGAATGCTGATTATAATCAATACGTTCATTCAAAGATTGAATATAATTCATAATCTGATCACGTTCATGATTATATTGATCGGGACTAACAACCTTTAAATTAGTCAAGTATTTAGTCAAATCAAACACGGTCTTCCTAAGAATTTGATTTTCACCTTCATATTGAGTAATAGCTCTAGCAAGATCATTTTGACCTCTAAATAACATTTTATTTTCATTACTTAAAGTAGCAAGTGTAGCATCAGTTTCTTGTTTATTCCTAGAAATAATATTCATTAACTGTCCCATTGAAGACCGATGAGCATCCAATATATTTTCAATACCATCAATACGTTCATTTGTATTTTTAACATTATTTACATAATAACTCAATTCCTGTAAACGATTATCCGTCTGATCAAATTTAGAATTTACATAATTCTGATAAGCACGCATTTCATCTTTAGTAATAAACATATTTTGATTACGATTAAGCTCAATCTGTTGTTGTTCCAATTGTTTTTGTTTATTCTTAATCTTCTTAATTCTCCTATTAGCTTCTTGTTGATCTAAACTACCTTTTTTAACAGCTTCTTTAATATCATGTATTTCATTTGTATTATAATTTATTTGATCTTGAAGAGTTTCTTGATACGTATCATATGTAATAAACTTCTGTCTATAATCATTGAATCGTTTTTCAGTACGTTCAGCATATTCATCTAAATCACTATCAGCAATTTGAGCTTTTAATTTAGCTTCAGCAGCAATACGATTAGCATCATTAACTTGTTGTTGCAATGACTGATTAACACGTTGTTGTTGTTTATTATTATCTCTGATTTGTTGTTTCATTTCATCTCTCATTTCTTGTTTAAGTTTATTACGTTCATACTCACTTAATGGTTGTCGAGGTTTAACTTTTTCTTTTTCTTCTTCTTCATCATTCTTTTTATAATAACTATCATAAGGTACATATGGACGTACACCGTAACGATAAAATTGAACTTCATTATCAATAGGTTGTCTATTATATCTAAATTGTGTACGATATCCAGACCAATTAGTGTGATATTCTTCATCATCATAAATTCTTCTTTTATAACCACGTCTTAAATTTTTACGTTTAAAACGATTCCAATGAGGTTGTATAACATCAAAATAACGATTCATTAAAAATAAGTAGATTAAAGATTAGGATTTGACTCGGGCATACCATTATTAGGTAATACAACTCCTCCATTACTATATGTTTGATCACCACTATTAAATACTGTATCAGGATTAATAGAAGGTTTATTACTATTATCAGCATTTCCAACTACAATATAAGTAGAAGAATCAGCAGCAGAAGGAACAACTAATCCCATATTATTTTTAGCATAACCAATAAATCCAGAATATGGTTTAAATATTTCAGCATTTGGAGTAAGAACTTTTCTTAATCCTCTTAATGTAACATCAAATTGCCAATGAATAGTTAAAGTACAAGCATTCATAGCAGCAACAGCTTGTGGAGCTTTAAGTGAAATAAGTAATTGAGGATTCCATGCACTATACATATTATCTTGTGATAATACTTGTTTCGTATTTGTTGTTGGTAAATACATTGATTTCTCCATCATTGATGCAGCATCTAATTGTCTAATAACACCCCATCTACTTCCATAATACAATGTCTTTTCATTTGCAGATGAATAACTTGATACAACACCATAATCAGGTACTCCAAAATATTTAGTACCATTAACTTCAACTACTTTAATTTTAACACCGTTTCTATCCCATGCAGTACAAATAGAAGGGAAAGTAGCACTATTCAATAAACCATTACCAATAAATGTCATTTCAAGTGATGCTCTAACAGCATTAACTTTATATTGATCATACATTCCCATATAATTTTCAAAATATTGAGTAGAAGTAAGAATAGCATTTACATTTCTAATTAATGTAGCTTCACTTGAACCAATAGGTACATTAATATTAACATCTTCTTGTACAGAAATTACTACATTAGTAGAATCTCTTTGTTGCATTGCACTTGCAAAATTACCAAATGCTTGTCTTCTTAAAGTACTTCTTCTTCCTCTTCTTCTCATAGTACGTCTACCTCTCATTCTTCTTGGCATAACCAAATGAAAATAATAGATCAATTAGTTCACATATAACAAAGGCACAGTTTTACCAGATAAAGAATCAACTTTACTAACATAAGTAGAAGAAATGGATGTATTATTATTCGTAAAAACAGCAGCAATATAATCATCAGAAGTAGATCTTCCAATATTAAGTCCACCACCATTAACAGCGAATTTACCAGAATTACTAATAACGCCATTCTTATAATTAACTCCAACAGCAATGGAATAGTTGTTTTCATAACTACTGCCAATAACATCATCAAAGAAATTAGTCATATCAAAATCTGAGGAATCACTAGCAACACAATAAGAATAAATTCTAAGAGCATTACTGACACTTCCCATAACAAGAGCATAAACATAATCATTGTTACTATAAGAAGCATTAGTAATAGCACTATTCCAACTCTCATTAGGTTTTCTAATATAAATATCAAAATACATATAATCATTTTCATAATGTCCTTCTCCTGTGAGTGGAATCATTTCATTTAATACACTTGAACCATCAGAAATATACCAATGTAAGAAAGAAAACGATTCAACAATTTCATTCTTAGTTGTTCTCAATTGCTTAAATCTTACTGTAATATATCCCATAACTTTAAGAATATAACTATCATTAATTGTTAAACTAGCATTAGTACTAACTTGATTCAAATAAGCAGTCCATTGATTATTATCAATAAAATCGAGTCTGGTACCTCTGATTTCAGTTATTTCTATTTTAACACCAGCTTTTAATATAGCATATAAATCATTAGGAGCTTGTTCAGTTGGTTCAGCACCTTTCTCAAGAACAACCGTATTAGTTTGTTTAACACTTGAAGCAGTATTCCATTCTAATTGATTTTCATCAAAATATTGAACAACACTCAACATACGATTATTTTCATCACCAGTCATACCAGGCAATTGAGCTTTTGCACCGTATAATATACAAGGAATAAATCTACCATTTTGTAATTCTGGTTTAAATTCATATAATTTGCCGCTCATAATTGTTGGAATCGTCATCATCTTCTCACTACTACTAACACCTTGAATATCCAATGATAAATGCATTGGTGCACCTGGCATTTTAGATTGATAAATATAAGAAGAATAAGAAGAAAATTCATCATAAGATGGTTCACTATAATAAGTATTACTTCCAATTACATTTTGATAAAATCCATTAGGAATTGTACGTCTAGCAGCCATTCCATAAATACAAGGAAATGTTATTTCTTGTGTAACAATACTTCCTTGTTCATCAGAAGGTTTATTAATAGTTTTACCATATGAATAATTTGTATTTAAATAAGTAA